ATTTTCGTTGCCCAAGTTTCGGGACGAAACTTCTTTTAAGGGGGGTAGACTGTAATACCCCGTATTTTTATACGTATTTTAATTTAAATAAGTATTTCTTAAAGTATTTAAATAATTTGAAATGAATTATTTATGGTTTTTATTAAATTAAAAGAATTATTTTAATGAAAAAGTTTATTTTTAATTATTTAAATCTTGAAAATATTTATTTTATGATTTGGAAATATTGGGGCATATTATTTTATAAAAAGATAATTTTTAAAGTCAATGGTATTTAAGGAAAGTCAAAATACTAGTTTGACTAGGAAAGGAATCATTAAAGGTAGTAAAGGAATTTTAAGTAGGAGGGATATTGAGAGGGGGTATAAATACCTATCGTATGCCTAAGGTGGAGTGCACCCAAAAGTAAACTCTCTTTCTCCTCTTATTTTCTTTTCCCCTTCCCCTTCCCCTTTATTTTAATTTTATTGCTTTTAATCACCACCACCCACACACACCACACACCGACGGCCACCACCGACCGACGGCAACCACCACCAGCCCTCGCCGGCAGCAGCAGCCACCAGGCGATAAAGAAGCAGCCAGCCATGGTGGTTGTGTGCGCCGGTGGTGTTAAAAAAAATTATTGTTTTTGATTTTTAATTAAATCTACCCTAAATCTAATTATTGTTTTTGGGTTTTGTGATGATTTTAGGATGTTTAATGATAAGTATTTTGTATATAAATTTTCAGATTTGATTTTGAATTATAAAGCCCCAAATTGAAAACCCTAGGTTTCTAAATTGATGTATATTGAGGGGAATTGTTTATGGGTGATTTAAATTATTGAAATAAGTGTTTTTAACATAATTACAGCAATTTTATAAGTTTTAATAATGCTGGAATTTTTATATATAAGCTATAATTATGTTTCTTGAAAGGATTTTTAATAACTCATTAATTGGGAATAAAATAAGGGTTTTAAATTAAAGTTCAGCTTGTTTTAGAGGGTTTATGAGTGATTTAAAGAGTGTATATATTGCTTGAAATTTGTGTGATTCTTTGTAATATTGGTTTGTAGGAGACTTTCAAGTGAGTGATTTTATTTAGTCGTGGCGATTTTGAGATCATATTCAAGGTACGTTCGCGTACTTAATAATTATTTGAATATGTAGAAGCATGCTAGGCTTTGTTTAATTAGTTCCAAGTAGTATCATGGTAGGTGATGATTGGAATTTGTTGACTAGATTGATGTTGGTGAATGATTTGTGATGTATGAATTATTTATGGTGAATTGGTGATTGGAATTAATTATGTTGGCATGTTAATTATGAACCACACTTTTATTGTTGGCATAATAGAGAGCATGTTTAATTAAACAAAATGTTTAATTTGGTTTGGAATATGAAAAGGGAATTTTATTATGGTTCATATAATTTTTATTGATGCTTTAAGCATGGGAATTGAGCTATCAAGTGTCTTAGTACACAGGAATAAATTATATTGCGGTGCTTATGTGCACTTAAGGTGTTTCTGACATCGAGGGATAGGATTTACGGTGCATTATGCGTTTAAGGTGTCTTTGACGTCGAGGTAGATTCAAAAGGGTTCAACTATTAAATTTATGTGGTCACTAATTATTCAAGAATTAAATTGGTATGTTTCATTAAGTATGAACATATGGAGGAGGGGAGTTATGGGGTTTTATATTTAACCATGACTTCTACTGAGAGTACAGGACGCTGTATTTTCCTTTTTTATTTATCTTATGCGCATGATGTCCAGTCACTTCATGTGACATTTGCCTACCCGGTTAGCTCTCGGTGTAGTTTACCTCAATTTATTTGAGGCAGGGATTTGGTTGGAAACTCGTTCGATGTGTAATCAAAATTAAATGAAGTTGGTATTTGTCTAGTTAGGTGTTGAATGTTTTGTATGCTTGTAAAGAGGTGCAACACGGTAAGTTGTGTGATAATAGGATGTAAGCATGTTAGTGTGTTTTTATTACGCTTATGTACTCAGCATTGTTGATTGTGTGTTTGTATGTTTGTTTGGCCTTGTCTTTACCTTGGCCCTACGACGACCCATTTCTAATGGCGAGTAGTGGTGATAAGTAGAGAGAAGCTTTTTTAGGTGGTGAAGCATTTTTCATGAAGGGCATGAGTGAAGAGCGAATCATGCTTAGTTCTCATAGGAATATGATGTGTTTTATTTACTTTGAATATTATTTATTTTATTCTTCTTATGAGACAAACGCAAAGGTTTTAATATTGTTTGGTTTTGAGGACCTACAATGGTTCCAAATTGTAGGTTGACTTTGTTTAACTTTGCTTTCGTTTGGTGTGACTTTTTAAGTTGACATGTTTTTAAATGGTTTTAAAGATAGTCTTCCGCTGTGTGTGTCTTTGATAATTGCTTTAGCCGATTTCACGGTGCCAGTAATGTCATAGATTTTTCTATTTCATATTTTTAAATGGGCAAAATAGGTATTTTAATGGAAAGGAATTTCTAGGGTGTCATAGACCTGTCACACAAGTCATCAATTGACGTATACCATAATTAACTATTAAATAAAATTAGAATTGACTTAATTAAAAACAAAATAAAGCTTAAGAATAACTTTAAATACAAAAATTTATAATAAATAATTTTTAAAAAAGATTGCGGTGTCGGGTTGGTGTGGAGGGCTGGGTGGTCATAGGTTAGTGCCGGATAGGGTAGGTGGAGGTTGTGTGGGTTCGTTGGGACTCAATGGGAGTTTGTCGCATAAGTGGGGTTTGAGAGTAAGGGTTAGGGTTTGGGTGGGAGTTCGCCACATAAGTGGGGTTGAGAGTTAAGGTTAGGGTTTGGGTGGGTGTTCGCTAGACTGGTTGGGATCGCTGACTAGGGTGTAAAGTCAAAATATATCCAATAAAGGAATGGATGGAGTATTAGAGCAATTCCAATGGTAAACTAATTAGCAAACTAGCTTTTTAAGCCACATAAGATTTTTAAGCTAAATTCTTTTGTAGCTAGCTAATTTGTGCCATAACGGTTAGCTACTAGCTTGTGGTGTTTGCAAGAGAGGTGACGAATATGTCATGCATGCGTTATAAAGATTGCAGCTTAGCCCGAGCAATTTGGAGTAAGTGCGATTATTCTAGGGTTTTGTCCCACTCTTATTGTATGACTGGTGGGAGCACTATTCTGGTAATTTTAGGGAGGGGGATATGGGTAATTTAATTTCCATATGCTTAGCTATTTGGGGTGCAAGGAACAAATGGATGAATGATGGTGAAAATTTGAATGTTGAGCAAATTGTTGCCTATGCTTTGAAGATTAGTAAGGAGGGGCGTGAGGTGAGAAAGTTGAATAACATGGAGAATGAAGGGGGTGGAAAGAGTGTCTCGATGGGCTGGTCTCCTCAGGCATCTGGTGTGGTTAAAATTATTGTTGATGCTAGTGTTTAGGAGGAGGTGAGGACGGGGCTGGGTGCAGTCTGCAGGAATAGTGAGGGGGTGGTGCTTTGGGGAGCTACTGTGCAGTGGAGTGAGAAATGGAAGACTAAGATTGCAGAGGCAAAAGCGATATTTTGGGGCATGAATATTGTGAGACACAAGGGTATGAGTTACATTGAGATCGAGAGTGATAATTTGGTGGTGATTGAGGCACTAAGGAAGCGTTTGTATGACTCCAATTCCTTTCATCTGATTGTAGAGGATATTCTAGATTTTTTTCTTCTAATTTTACTAGTGTTTCACGGTCTTTAGTAAAGCAAGGGGGGTAATAATGTAGCACACGAATTGGCTCACTTTCAACCTTGGAAGTTTGGCCAACGGGTGTAGAGTGATGTAATCCCACCTCACATTTTGGAAAATTTTTGGTTGATCTAGTAATTTAATAGCCCTTGATGAGTTTTTTTCAAAAAAAAAAAAGTACTCCCTCCCGTTTTTTTTTAAAAATGCATCACTTTGATTGCACTATTCACATACCATGGTTGACTTAATTTTTCCACCTTTATAAAATAAATAAATGTTATTATATAATATATCATTAGATTAGTCATTATGTCTTGTTTCATAATATAATTTTGTTATAATTTTTACTAATAGACAATTAAAAATATTAATGGTCAAAGTTACATCTCGGCAAATGTGTCGGTTAAACTGATGCAAATAAAAAATTAAAAAAAAAGTATTAAAGCTATCACTTCCAAAGTTATTCACTAATAATTTACTGTTTTACATAGATCACTAATTAACTCAAACAATTTTACACTTGCTAGTCTGCAATTGCATTCAATATAAAATGTAAGTGATCGTCAACTGATGTTAAAACCGCAGAGGTAACACTACCTATACAATTGCATAGTATAAAGTTAAGCCACGATAAAAGAGTCATCTCAACCACATTTTTTTGAGGAAAACTCGTTCTAACCACATTTAACACATGATAACTTGTAATTGACTTATGTTACCATAGTTTCTTTTTGTTTGTTGTAAACTCGGTTTAATTAATGTAATTCCAGTCGTTTTCAAAATTAAAAAAAAAATAAAAATAAACTTACAAATAATTTATACAAGCTTTGGTGTGTACAAATAATATTTGAGAAATGGAAGTGTAATGTTTAGGGTTTGTTTGGTATTGCTGTATTTTTCTGTTTTTTTGGTTTTTTGTTTTTTGTTTTTTAAAACTATAAGATTTATGTCATTTAATTAATAAAAAATTAGTCAAACTTATTAAAATCATGATAATTTTGAAAACTGACTATAAAACGTGGAATCACCTTTTTATTGTTTCATATTTTTTTTAATTTTTTGTTTTAAAAAATAAGAAAACTGTAAACAAAAAACGATACCATACAAGCTCTTAACTAGTATTTGTATTTTTTAAAAAAATAGGTTTACTTTAAAGTTTAAACCCTTATAAGACCCACCCTGACGCCCTGTCCCATAATTGGACGATCGTATAAAGATCCAGCCCATTTAATTATTAAACGGATCTAACCCATTAATAATTGTGGTGGGTCAGGGCTTTTAATAGGGCTCCACCAAGGCGTCCAACCCATTGAATTGCTCTCTCTCAGATCTCCATTGAAGCGCACTCAACGTTTTCCATTGAAGCGCAGTTGACGTTCTCCATTGAATCTAGTTCTTGTATCCCCCATTGAAGCAGCTTCAATTCTGAGGTAAGTTGTTTGTATTTGTTATCATCATTTCAATTTCACAATCTAATGGTTCGAAAATCTGAACTATTGGTTCTAAATTCTAAGATAGCCAAAAGAAAATTATGAGCCTAATTTGATTATTGAATCAAATATCCCTAAAATTATGAATCAGATATCCCTAAAATTATGAGATAATTGAATCAAATTTGGTTGCTAATGTATTGCACAACCCTTTGATGTTAGGATTCAACTATGAAATTAGAGCTCTTTTCCCTCCTGCCCTGCCTCAGTGTGTATTAGTTATGGCAATTTGGGTATGTTAATTTTCAGCTACAATATTGTTTTTAGATGTTGAAGATATTTTACTTTAAGCATTACATACTTACATTAGCATAAGTAAAGGAATAAAGATACTAATTTGAAATACTAATTTGAGGTGTTTAGGAAAAAGCTTATGCCTTTTGTGAATTTGTATGGGTTTAAAGTTGTTAGCTCAAGTGTTACTTGATTTGCTATGCCCTTAGCTTGTGTATTCGAGAGAAGGTGGGAGTGATTCAACTGATATAAAAGAGTTGCTTTGCAAAACATGTTTCTATCATATTCATTTGAATCATAACTATGAGATGTTTAAGGCATTTTGACAATGTTATCGACGAAGGGGTGTATAACAAGATTTCTTCTTTTCTCATTCCACCCACTGTTGTCTCAGTGTTTGATCTTTGAATCTGATTTTGGTTTATTAGTATATTTATTTTATTATTTAGTGCAATTATGTGTGAAGGGCACTCAAAGATTTATTTTTTTGTGCAAATATTATGTATTGCACTTTTTTTCCAGATCTTTGAAGGAGATTGTTGTTGAACTAACTGCGTCATGAGTAATGAAGGGGATGTCTCTACTAGTGGCAAGAAGAAACATAAGAAACGGAAGAATAGTGAGATTAGTGATTTAGGAGCAGAGGAGGGTAATGTAGAATTAGCTGATGAAAGCCGTCCCAAAAAGAAGCTGAAACAGAAGGTTTTGAGTGATTCAGGTGTAGACGTAGACTTTGGTGCAGATATGGATAAAAGTCTTAGGAAGAAGAAAAAGAAGGATGTGAATGGGATAGATGTAGACACACTATGGGATGATAATAAAAGTAAGGGAAAAATGAAGAAGGGTAAATCTGGAGACAGGAGAGAGGCTTCTAAGGTTTTAGAATCATCAGGTGAGGCTGTCAATGAGGAGAATTTAGAAGTTAGTAGATCAAAAAGGAGTAGAAAGAAGAAAAATGATAGAGATAATGTGGATCATAAAGAGAATAGTGGCATTGAGCTGGTGAAGGGAGGTGTGGCACACTCTGGAGAAGAAGGGCATGCTAAGAAGAAGAAGAAGAAGAAGAAGAAGAATCAAACAGATTTCAAAATGAAAAAGAAGTCGAATGATAATGTTGGTGATGCTAGTTTTGTAGAAAAACAGGCTCATAATGAGGTTATTGCGAACAAGAAGCAGAAAAATGTGAAGGACAGTTTGGGAGATAGATATTTGAGTGAAGATCATTTGGGAAATAGCCATGTGAATGCACACAAGAGTGTTGAGGACAGTCAACTTGGAGGCAATAGTAACAATGAGCAGGTGATTAGGAAAAAAAAAGAAGAAGAAATCAGAAAAATGCAAAGATACTGATTCTGCTGGTGCTTCAGAGATCATGGATACCGAAGGAAGTACTGGTCATACCAATTTGATTGTAAATCAGTTTGACAATGAGGTTATTGAAAACATCCAACCTGTAAAAGACAAAAAAAGAAAAAAGAAAAAGAAGGATACTTCAGGAGCAGTTAATTTGGATAAAGAACTTGAGATGAATACCCATTGTGCGTCAACCAACGGAAGACAGAAATTTAGGGATAGAGGCAATAAAAAGAGGAAGGAGAAATCTCGTGGGTGTTATACTGAGGTAGATGCAACTGATTGTATGCCTGAGATGAATAAAGCTGCTGAGCCTTCTGAATTATCCACCCATAAGAAATCAAAGAAAGTCCAATTTTCTGAAACTGTGGAAGTTTTCCCTCTTTCTGATGAATCGATCAAGGAGAAAAAGAAAATGGTTGAAGTTGGAAATGAGGAGAACAACAATGTTGAAAATGGGCTGGTACAAGGTAAACGATTTTCCAAAGAGGAGGATGAGATGGTCCGAAATGCTGTATATAAATACGTAGAGGATCACCAGCTGGGTGAAGAAGGTGTAGAAATGGTCATGAACTGTAGATTGCACCAAGAACTGAAAGGCTGTTGGAAAGAAATTGGAGAATCTTTGCCTTGGAGACCTTATTTAGCTGTCTATAGCCGAGCTCATGTACTTTTTGAACGAAGTGAGGATCGCAAGTGGACCCCAGAAGAGGTAGAACTAGTCAAGAAATTCTATGAAAAGCACGGACCAGATTGGAAAACATTGGGTGACGAACTCGGTAAACATCGGTTTCATGTTAAAGATGTATGGAGGAGGACCAGGTATCCCAATTTAAAAAAGGGGACCTGGTCCCAAGAAGAGTACCAGAACTTATTTAATCTTGTCAACATGGATTTGAGCATGAAAGTATTTACAGAAAAGAGATCAAAGCATGGTATGCTACGAGATAACATAGCTTGGGATGCAGTTAGTGATCAGCTTGCAACTCGAAGCAATTCTTTATGTTGCATGAAATGGTATGACTCATTAACATCTCCCATGGTAGCTGAAGGGAAGTGGGCTAATTCTGATGACTATAGAATGTTGATTGCACTCGTAGATCGTGATGATGCTTGTGAAGATGATGTGGATTGGGACAACCTTCTGGAACATAGATCTGGTGATATTTGCCGTAAGCGTTGGAATCAAATGGTACGCCATATTGGTGAGCATGGTAGGAAATCATTTATTGAGCAAGTTGAAATTCTTTCCCAGAGATACTGCCCAAATATTTTAGAAGCAAGAGAATCTTATGACAACAGACCTGCTGTTGATGCTTAATGCTATTTTTGTGTTGTAACTGGTTATTAATTGTAGAGACGATGTGATTTTCTACTTTATCTACTTATATTCTAGAGATTATACTCTTACATGATAGTAATTTATCTTTGTGGCCTATTTTTTCTTTTTTTTCTTTTTTTTTTTTGGCTGTAATTTATTGACCACATAATTTCCGTCTATAGCCTCTATAGTTTCTGAACTGAATGTTTTGCCCTGCTTTGAAGCAGATTCTTATATTTACTTGGTGTCCACTTCTATTGTTATTGTATATGTAATTTGTTATATCTTATATGAGTATGATTTTTTTGTTTGTGTAGTGAACTAGTGATTGTGCAAGTTATTGAATGCTCCTAACATATCATGATTTTAGTAAATTCACGGTAAGAAGGGAACTGTAATCAGAAAAGAAAGATGGAGCAAGAAAGGAAGAGTATGGTTTCTTATGATGTCATTTGCAGTTCATCATTCACATCTATAGTTCCTTGATGCTGAAAGCCTATATGTTTCTTGACAAAAATGTCAGAATTCGGCACCTTTATTTATTTAAGAATTATCTTAAAATAAAGTTAGTAAAATGTTGCTGTAATTTCTGTCTTATAGTTTTAATCTGTCAACTTAGTGACAAGTTTGTTTTATAAGAGCTATTTGTTTATAGATGTGATTTCTTCTCATTTTGTGTATGTGGGATTGGGTAGTGCTTTTGTTGATTTAGCTGTAGCCAAATATGGAGTAGTTTATTCATTGTCCTGTTTTAATTCAACACACTCAAATAGCTTGCAGACAAATCTTCTAAGAATCTACCTAATAGCATAATTATTAACCAAAACAGGAAAAGAGAGAAACAGGAAAATAGAGGAGCTTGTGACTTAGGGAAAACATGCCCTTCTTTGAATTCCGGTTGATTGGGGTTTTTCGTTTGTTTGCATTAACTTTCTATGACATGTATGCATTATGCCTTGAGCATCTGGATCTTCTTAGGTCGAATCTTATTGTCTGTTTTCTGTATTTTTGACCGGGTAGAAGTTCCTGTTAGTCATGTTTACTTTCGTTAACATGCATTGTTTCTTTATTGTTTTTTTTGTTGGTTACAATTATGTTTTTGAGTTAAATTTCTTGTTGCATGCCCGTCTTCTTCTTTCCTTCAATCTAAATTTGCGGTTCCTCTACCATCTTGTATGTTGTATACTTAGCTTTTCGTTTAGGCTATTAACGACTTTTCCTTGTTAGTTAATACTGCTTCTGTTCTGTATCTCCTATCAAGTTAATTTGTAGATGATATTTCTGACTTTTAATTCCTGATATGAGGGGAAAAAAAAACACTTAGTGCTTGTGTAGGATCCTTGCTGGCCTGGTGTTGATGCAGTCGTGAGACTCTGTGCAGCTGGTGGTGTGAAGGTACAACATTCTATGCAATATTTGTTTGTAGTAAAGTATTTTCTGTGAGCTTAAATGTAAGAAAAATTAAGTATATTGTGAGAGATCAGCAGAATCAATTCACTCGACTTTTTTTATAAGCAAGAGATGGGGAGAACCCGCAAAAGTTTCTACACATCGGGGGAACCCATCAGTTAATACATCCCTCTCCAATGTCCCCAACTGGAGAGCTAAAACAAGCAGCAAGATGGGTAACAGTTTTTGAGCTAGCTAAAAGGATTCCATATTCTATGAGAAATTGTGATGGTAAAATCACGGGTTTAGGGTTTTTGATAAAAAAAATGCCTAGAATTTTGCCTTTCTCATCCTAAGGGATTTAGATCATCAATTCACTATTTTTTCTTTTTATTTTATTTTTTATATAGTTTGATTGTTTTTCAGTTAATTTTTGATGAAAAATAGGTCATGGGTATGATCGAACAATTTGTCGTATATTAATGTTTAGCATAATATTGTTCATGTATATTACTTTCTTAGGATGTTGCTATTATTTAAGGTTTTGCTGATTTGAATGATGAAATATGCTGCTAACTAGCTCCTGATGATCATGAAAATTATGTTTTGAATTGTGCTATCTTGATAATTATCATCAATCAATCACGTTGATTGGCCCTATATCACTTAAATTTTTTAAATCTTTTTCTTTGATAATTTGAATGATCATTTTTGTGATTCGTTTTGGATTTTTGTGTTCACAATCGTTATGTGTTTGCTTTAATCGACTCTTTTGTGCAACAGACTTTATAGAATTAGCCTTGGATTTTAATTGATCTTGGACGCGATTTGGTTCGGGTGGTGCTGATAGTAAGCATTGAATTGAAGACTCCTCTGGTATGTTCTAGATATGTTGCAGAAGAGGTTAAATTATAGGCTCAGTGGTTATCGGGTGCCTTTCATTTCTAGAACTGCGAGGCCTGGTAGGGTAAATTCACTTCCTTTTGATTATCTGTTGTGTTGAGATTTTGTAATTTATATGAACTTGCTGAAGAGATGCCTGATTTGAGAAAAAGCTGTGGACAAAAAAATTGTGTGCATTTGATTTATTGGTTACTGTTGCCGGGAAATTACTTGAGGGAGAGAGTTTTCAGAATCTGCCAATCAAGAACGATCAGCTGGGCAGTGAACAAGATGTCGTTATGCAGGACAAGATGAAGGCAATCTGTGTCTGAAGATAAGCATTGTGGTAAAGGGAGCAATGAAGTTGATCCCTTAATTTGGATCTTGGATTAAAGGTACAGGACCAAGACTGCAATGTAAAGGAAAATTCTGGTCCACAGAATGAATGAATATGAATGATGACAAGAGTGATTTCTGTAGCTATTCCTGGAACACAGTAGGATTTGCTCCTGCTCACACCGATTCTTGTGTTTCGAAAGTGAGTGGACCTACGGAAGAACATGATGGCAAAAGAGAGATATTGTCTGGCCACAGGCTATTTTTCAATGGGAACACTACCTAGTACAATGAAACCTGCTAGGTTGCCTGCTCGTATAGGTGCTTGTAGAATAAGTAAGCTGTTGGCATCCAAGCATTTGATATTTAGCTCAAGGACTGATCATTCTGTTACTGGTAAACTATTGCTCGGTTGCTTGTTGTGTTATCTATTTTCTCTTTCATCGTTTGACTGCTTGAAGGCTGATGATGGTTTATTAATTTTGCAGGATTATGCTGCATTTACCACAACAAGAGGACTGGTTGTAAGTGCCAGAGATCTCAAAGGATCTATCCTGTTAAGAGGAAGTTCTATCACCCATTCACTATGGCTCTTTACTGAATTCTGATGGAGATTATGATTGTAAAGGTGTGTATGATTTTCTTGATAGGCCTATTGATCAAATCATCTGTGCTTTTAGTGCAGTCAGGCATAGAGTCCTGGCCTCTGGTATTTGTGTTGTTTATTATCCATAAATGTGTCAAATTGCTGCTAAATGTACAATTGTACATCCTGTTATATTTAACTCTCATACATAATGAATGATTTACAAATGAATTAAGGTTTGTTCTGCATTATTTATATTAAAGAACCTTGATCAGTTTTATAATTATCATAAACTTGTTGATTAACTCATAATAAACATGCATCAAAAGCGTTTTTACTAAAAAATGGCACTTACCCACGACTAGTTAAACAAAAAAAAAGTTACAGCGTACAAGACTACAAGATATAATGTTAAAGGTATGTTCGGTAACACAACTTCAACAACTAAAAAAAAAAAAAAAACCCTGAACCTGCATGACCATTCGGCTTATGTTGAGGAGCAGAACCAAACAACAAATTCCAGTACTATATTCAGTATTATTTGACAGCAGTAATATACATCAGTTATATACCTGTATGACAAGTATATTCACTTGTTTCCTAACTGTTCGTACCGTGAAGAATTCAGAATGATTTTCATTGGCGAACAAATTATTTATCAATGAAGTGATACAAAGGCAAGCAAATGACTTGAAATCTTAATGGAATCCAAGACCATCAAACATCACCAAGGAATTTCTTGACCATCCCAAGCAAAAAACTTTCCGTTATCATGAATCTTGGCACCATCGATGATGCTTAAGAGCTTATTCACAGAAAACTCTTTGGTGAATAGCTTGTCCTTTGGGACATTTCTCTGAAAAGGCTGAGATAAATCGGTATCAACTGTGCCAGGATGCAGCAAGAGGCAAATAATTGGATCCTTCTTACGAGCAAATTCCACTGAAGCTGTTTTTGTCACTGCAGATGCAAGAAGCAAGGGTATAAATACCATGAACAGAATAACCAATTGTTTAAAGGATCAAAAGACAAGACTGCACCATGGCACAGCCGTACAGGTAAGGTGCAAGTTTTCTGTCATATACTAATGCTAATTCCTTCCATCAAAATGATATGTACCTACATACATTGTTATGGAATGTCCAAAAAAATTATCATCTTTCTTAGAATTTACAGAGTAATAGAATATAAAAATTGTTATCCTAGTAAATGAGATTCCAATGCATACGTTAGTGAAGAACCCTTTGAATTATGAAATGATACTTGCCTACTAACAATTGTACCATTTTACAAGAAGCATGGGCAATTTTCACTATCAAGAGAACACAAAAAGGCAAGTTAAGCTTAATTTTGCACCTATTATACTAACTTAGGCCTCTTGCCATACACGGTAAGTCTATTTTAAAAAAAAATAAAATAATATATAACAAAAAAAAGTGATACTTTAAAGTAATTTCTTTAACATCAATAATATGAATCAATTTTATCATGGAGTATTACTTTTTAGCAAAATCTAATATTACTCCATTTATCAGATAATTAAAAAGGAGTCGGAACAGCACCAAGATGTGACACGTGTCACTCATGGTGTCTGTTTTAGTATTAAGTTATTAAATTGCCTAATAACTTTTTTTTTTTTTTTTATTTTATATTTACACATGTTCTAAATATAATTTTGGCTCATGTCACAGGATGTGACAAAGTTTTACACTGGCTGTCAGTGACAGAGTGGGACCATGGAGAGATTAAACGAGGGAGAGGGAGACCGAAAATGACTTGGTTGGAAGGAGTTAGGAAGGACATGAAGCATTTGGATTTTGCATGAGAATGAGGCATTTGATCGTAAGGGGAAGAAGAAGATTTTTGTGGATGACTATACGGAATAATCACTTTTAGTTCATGTAGCCGACCCCACTTATGGGATTAAGGCTGTGATTGATTGATTAACACATGTTTCAAATGAGCAAGTTAACGAAATTCTGTACAAACTTGCATGGAAATGAAGGATAACATGCATAGTGAAGAGCTGAAGATGATAAGAACTAGGTTTGATTTTAGTAAGGATAATGAGATAACTGAAAAAATTTCGATTATCCAAAGGGGAAAAAAAAAAAAAGCAATTTGCAAGAAATCAAGTCTTTCATAAAGGAACTAAGCTTATCAAAGAATGGTTTTGCTAGCTAAGAGAAGCTATAAATGAAGAAGTCAAGCTAGTCCATTAAGGAGAGGATCAGCTTAGCAAAAATATTCACTGAAGCCCTACCATAGGGTTGGGATGAGAGATAAGGGTGCCAAGAGGAATGTTGACATATGGTCGTCTTCTCACATCCATAACATTTGTAAATCTTTAACAAGCAAAATGTACTCCGAATTTAATTGATCTATAGCATGAAACAGAAAAACCATGATCTCGTTTTTTGGGAGTCATTACAGTCAACAATTTTGCAGCAGAGTTAAGCTTTGGCTGGGAATCAGATGTGAATTTATCACTGTTATAGCAATGGTGAGATGGATGAAACAAATTGTATCACTGTTATAGCAATGGTGAGATGGATCAAACAAATTGTATCACTGTTATAGCAATGGTGAGATGGATCCAACAAAATCTGATAAATTACCAGATTCAGAAGACAAGCTTATGCTGCTTACTATGCCGGCTGTTATGTATTACATCTGGTTGGCAAGGAGTGATGGTTTAATACTTGAGTGGTTTATTTGTTGTACATAGTTTGTCTCAAGCGATTGTACCATTTTGTTGGTAGAACTTTTTACCACTATGCGATCCTGCCTAGGAAGTTTGTCCATACTTAAAAGTTCTTAAGTTGTAATTGTCAAAATTGGAAAGAAATATAATACTTCCTCCGTTCTTTTTTTATTGCATCATAGGAGATTTCACGCTTGCCAATGCATTACTTTAGCTATTAATATCTTTAATTATACCTTTGTAAAAATTATAAAAAATTGATATTTGGAAAGTAGATTTCGAGATGAATTTAACTAGATCCCACATGACTATGTTTTTCATTACGAATAAATCACAAAAGATGGTCAAAAAAGATTATGTGAATAGTGTAAAAGTCTTAGTGATGCGATAAAAAAAGAACGGTGGAAGTATATATTACAGTTGCCTACAAAAAAAAAAAAAAAAAAAAAAAAAAAAAATTCGCTTTTAATTGATTAACAAGGACAAATGAGAAATATTTAAACCCAAGTTACTTGAACACATTTTTCCTCTCTATGAGATTTCTGATCCAATTCTTTTTCCCTAGTATTCTAGCAGGCAACTTTGGCTTACAATAATATTCATGTAACAGTTTTAAAAATTTTATATATAATGTACTTCCTCCGTTCTTTATCACTAAACCCGCTTTGACTTTTACACTATTCACCTCCCCTCATTTGACTGTCTTTTGTGAATAATATGTAAGGAAAAACATATTCATGTGGGATCTTTTTAAATTTGTCTCAATAAGTACTATCATAATATATAACTTTTATAATTTTTACTTATGGAGAATTAAAGTTATTGACCGTTAAAGTTTTACATTGGCAAGCGTGATAAAAACAATAGGTCAAGTAAAAAAGAACAAAGGAGTATATACAAACACCTTCATAATTTTAACTGTATGTGTATATGTTTCTGAAAATCAACCAAATGCAGTCATAAGCTTTTATAAAGTACTCGTATAATAATCTTACACTGATTCAATGCTGTCTTTGAAGCTCGATATGAATGCCATCCACCTAGATTATTGTCACCAATAGATCCAACTCTTGCACTCAAATTTGCCACAACAGCAGCATCCCTCATAGTCCCTATTTTCCCTCCCGATTTAAGCAGGGGCCACATGTGCTGAGAAAAAATGGAATTGAAACAATTACTATATAAGTTCAGCCACACAAATTATTTAACAAACATCGAAGATAATTTTCTTAAACAATTGCTCGTTTAATACTACTGAATGAATTACTCTTGTCAAAAGATAACCACAAAATAGAGTGTGACATCAATTCAACAGATATTACAAGCAAAACATGTGTGTTTGATTGAAATTAAACATATGCTACCTTGGTAACATTGTATAAAGTTGAAAAAATCTTGCATTGCTGGCTTGCTATTGTTTGCAATAACTAAGCTCAGATGATAGGCAGTATTGAATACAAGTATACAAAAATTTAGTATACCTTCATCATTAGCAGAGGACCCACTGCATTAACTTCATATGCAAGCAGTAAGGCATGTTTCTGTACTTTAGTCAATGTCGTTTCTACGTTGGAAATGAAACCAGTGAAGGATCAGCTTTTTGTTCATGCATGTTTAAAACTTTCTACATCAACATTGCAAATTTGAAATTCATGAAAAAGAATACCTGGTTGTAACAAATTGGGTATAGACAGAATTCCAGATGTATTGAGAAGAAGATTCAGATAACCATATGTTTCACTCACAGAAGTTGCTGCAGCCTGAAAGATATATCCAAAAAGTATATTTTCTTTTCAGTCTTCATCAGCCATACATGTCATTGTCACCAATTCGACAGAAAAAATAACCATATAAACCTTCCGAAGGGAAAGAAGGCTTATTATATCAGGTAGGATTTACACAATGATGTCCATCCAACATAAGTAGGAGAATAAATGGCTGAAATGGAGTTCTAGCTTTAAGTCCATCTATTATTGTCAAAATAAACCATATCTGATGCAATGATTTTCTAATTTAGTACATTTAATAGAAGGAAGCAAATGACCGACACCTAAGAATACAAAATCAAACAAAATACTGGGAGTTTTCTCCAATTACAGGCAGCTTGGGCCATTTACAATCATTGACAAAACCTTGGAACCATGATAAAATACAGCACAAAGTTGACCAGTTTCAACACAGCTATCAAGATGTATAAAATGCTATCAAGATAGCTGTTGTTGAAAGTAAAAAGGGAACCTTATGTGATGTTGGCTGCAGAAAGTGGGCAAGTTTGTGTTGTATTTGTCATAGAGCCAAGATTGTATCAATGGTTGTCGATGTCCCAAAGCGTTTAGGTCATTGGAGGAATTTTTTTTTTTTTTAATATATATAAAAGTTCCCAAAACTTGATACTCCATAATAATGAACCAAGTAATTTTTCCTTGTGGAAAAAAGAGCTCAAAAGTAGATAGGTAAACTAATGCTGACGCCCATTGGGACTTCGGAAATACTATTAAATAAGCTGGTGTCCCAAACCTCAATGGTGTTTTCATCTATCACATCAACTTTCAGAAGTTTAAGTCGATCAGAGTATTGATTTTTCAGCTCCTGCAGCCCAGTAGATTGATCAGGATTTCGACATGTAGCAAGAACATGCCCTTTCTGGTCCCTACCCAGAAGCTGTTTTACCTGTAAAGTCAATCATCGGGTCAGTACAGTGATGCAATACAAAGTGATTATTCAAATCCATCATACTACAGGGGATTCCACAAGCTAAGATTTTTAGTTAGACAGACAAAATACACAAATAGCAATTCAAATGGTAACACTGCAATATTACCAGCAAATATGAGTCAGAGGGAACACAATTCAGAATTTGGAATGAATTTCTTTAAGATAATAATGGGAACAGCCTCATAATCAAAATACTTGAGTTTGTAGTCTGTGATAAAAACAATCATAATTCGTCACACAGTTGTTCCATTATAGGAGAAATGAGAGTGAACCACTCTAAATTATATTCTTTTTTTGTTTTTCACGTTGATTTTGTGTTAAGACTACCTTGCTTTCTTCACCAAAAATTAGCTCGTATAAAAAATGGCTCAACAAATATTAGCTCAGATGATAATGGCATCTAAGAAGTTTGATATCTTTAGGGCGCAAGATATCAGGACATATCTATGTGGGGTGAAAGACTGAAAGTAGCCTGGTGATCTTTATCATTCTAATTGCACTAGTATCTCGCTCAACTGCTTTCTCTCAGATAAGAAGACATTCATTTTTAGTTCCCAAGAGAGATTTCCCTTAGAGGTTCCCCTGCTTCAGTCACATTGTCTTCTCACATCAGGATATTGTTATGTATGTGCAGTGTTTTACAGAAAACAGCGAAGAAAATCTCAAATTATTCAGAATTTAGGGAGACAAGAGAAGGCTTGATAAATATGAATGTACATCTGCTGTAACATGATTATAAAGGAACGCATAGACATGTAGTTATGCGGACTTCATATACTCTCATTACCTGGAATTGCATAGCAAATCAGCTAGGATACCTCATGCACAGTTGGCCAATAATGATAGCGTGTTGAGCTCATGCTCATCATATTAGCACTGCTACTCAGAAAATTCTAAATTCCCTCCATTAGCGCTCCCCCCCCCCCCCCCACACACACACACACCCACTGACATTGATGATTGAAACTACTGTATATCGTGATGTGTATGCAAGTAACACATTGAAATTGATAACTGAACCTCATCAGCTTTGACACTATTGCATCACTAATTTAAAAGGTTAAAAATATGGTACTAACATAAGTTACATAATTACTTATCTAAGCAACTATCCAAAGTATGATTAAACAATTTGTTATCAAATTACCCTGTTTTTGCCATCAAAGTCAAATATAAAATTAATTAAAATCACAAATAGTAGTATCTATTTTCATTTAATTTTTTTCATATATATATATATATATATATATATATATATATATATATATATATATATATATATATATATATATATATATATTATTAAAAAAAATAAAATAAATAAATAAATAAAAAAATCCCTGCTCAAGGTCTTCAGTATCATTCAGCAATTATACAAATCTATTAACTATTACTAAAACAAAAAAATGCTGACATCATCCTCTCCTCAAACTGTATACTTGTCGCTCTCTCATAAAAAAATTTCCCGCCTAATGCACTTATGATGTCATATTTATTTTTGTTTTTTTTTTTAGAAATTAGTTATTTTTAATTATTTTTATTTCAATCTTTGACTGTGTCAATAAATAAATAAATAATTTTTTTTGGTTGGAATAAATAAAATTGATATTGAGCTAAAACATTTTAGGTAACTACAAAAAAAATTTAAATTTTTTTTTAAGGTTTTACTATTATTTTGTGTGTAAACTTAGGATTGTGCAAGCAACCTAGTTATGAAGTCATGTAATAATAATATGGATGTTTGTTATACAAAAATGAACTAATGTTGTCGTTAAATGTTACCATTGTTTCGGTATTTTCAAGGTGTTTCAATTTTTTTTTTTTTTTTTTTTTACATCGCTTCAATTTATCTAAGTTACATGTATTTTTAATTTGTATTTCGAACTCTTAGATATATAAATTCGTATGCATATGGTTTGATTAGATCAAATTGGCTTTCATTTTTATATTTTGTTACTTAGTAATTTATGATGAAAGATATGTTTTTATGATCTAATTTATAAGTATGTACGGGAAAATAATAAATAGAAACAATTTATTTCATTCTAATAATTTTTTCAATTCGTGCATCGAACAGGTCTAATCTAGTAATGGATTAAAATATGTTGTTACCCCAAAGGGATCCTGTCAAAGATTGAGAAAGGGATGCGTAGAATTGTAACTATATGATGACATTGTGGCCAGACGAACTCTGACAGGGATTTACAACTTCACTATAACAGTATAACTTTCGATATCCCTTCTTTATTTGTTATTAGTATGCATTCCTTCAACTCAGTTATTTTCCCATGATCCACTTATTACACATGGTATAGCTGGTTGCAACAATGGTTGACTTCACACAGGATTTGATCTGTTGACAAATTATGTTCTAAAATGGTATGTCTCCCTCAACAAATTTAGATTGTTCATCAAACACGTGTTCTTCCATAAATAAAATTATATTTACCATTGCAATAACAAGAATTGGTCATTACTGGATTAACTAAGACATAAAACTCTGCTTGAAAAATAACACCATCATTCTCTTTTGCTAGATACTCAACTTCCAAATTTGTAAATGTATGACCTCTTGTGTACAACAATGAATATTTAACATTTATTTTGGACTAGAAAACAGTTATAGCTTTCATACTATCTTCTTATTTTCTTCATTTTCATAGCTTGGCACCTCTAACTCACATATATGCAAATAATGCAAGAGAATAACAAATTGTTGCATAGAGCTTAGATCTTTCATGTACCCCAAAATGATCACTGCAGACACATCAAGTTGCTCTTGATGTTGAACAAGATCAAGAGAAATCTTAGAAGATTAAAGAATATCTTAAAATCAACACCACCAAATGACTAATTAGAGCAAAAGAAACCAATCCTGATTGAGGCTTCACTGTCCTAAATGTATCAGATTCTAGATTTCTAGGGACATAACTTACACCAGCTTCACTCACTATGCTATGGTTCTTTGGAATTTGCTTTGGCCATAACCAAAGTAATGCAAGGATTACATTAATTCACTTTAATGGAAATCTAATTAATATATTCAAGGAGGGGTGTTGGCTACAGAATAGTTCTAGATCATTTCTGAATTATCAAAGATTCAGAATGGTAATAATACATCAAATATTTCATAAGGCAAAAAGAATATCTATCCTAACACATGCAAGAATAAGATGGCACAGCAGCAGCAGCAGCATCAATACGTGAAAACATGTTATTTAGATAAGTTTCCAAACTCACCAAGTCTTAACACCTCCTCCTCCCCCCCAACCCCCCCCCCCCCCCCACTCTCTCCCTCGCTAACATAACTGCCCTAAGCTAAGATAGATTTGAATGTGTGTCCTTCGCTGCCAACTGAAGCACATAGATTGCTCCACATGAAGCTTGTCAGCTTGTTAGGACTCGCAAGTGAACCAAATCCAGCATCAATCTTTCTCACATCCCAATACCCATATTGTGACCAATTCACCAATCAAAGTAAATGAGTGCCAAGTAACTCCAGAAAGCAAACAAAAACCCAAGGTACAGTCCTAGAAATCAAAATTGAACCAAACCAACTCCCAGACAATCCATGAAACAAAAACTCGTCAAATCGAGAATGTGTCACTTGCATACATATCACTCTTTTGTGATTCTAAGAGGTTGTATTAAACACTCATTATATATGTAATACTTATGGGGGAATTACTTCATTCTTTAAATCTACCAATAACCACAAGAATATCCTTAACACTGATTTGAACCATGTATATTGTTTAATATTAATTTATTATGAGTATAAAAAATAAAAAATCAGCACTAACCCACATTGTCATTGGGAAATCACTTAAAACTTTCACATAGTATTCAACAAATAGTACTACTTCCTCGGTTCTTTTTTACTTGACTTGTTTCTTTTATCACGCTTGCCAATGCAAAACTTTAACGATCAATAACTTTAATTCCCCACAAGTAAATATTGTAAAAGTTATATATTATGTAGTACTTATTGTGACGAATTCAAAAAGATCTCACGTGAATATGTTTTTTTCTTATATATTATTCACAAAAGACAGTCAAAGGAGAGGTGGTGTATATTGTAAAAGTCAAAGCGGGTCAACTAAAAAAGAACTTAACCGTTTTTTTTGCCAATGCATACCAAGATAGAATTTGATCACGATCAGCGGGCGGTCCATAACTGCCCCCAACGAAGCAACGACATCCACATAACTTAATAAATTAAACAAATTGAAGAACTCTTAGAGCTCCTGAATTTTACCCATTTAGAGTCAAGAAAATTCCAAAACTTGCATTTATATGTCGTAGTATATGAAACTTTAAAAATAAATAAATTAATAAATAAATAAATAAATAAATAAATAAATAAATAAATAAAATTAAAGAGATTATAAATAAAATGAGGAAAAATGGAAAATTACATACAAATTCAAGGCCAATGCCTCTTGAAGCTCCTTGAACCAATGATACCGATGCTTCTCGATTGAACGAAGAGGAGCAAAATGGCCTCTGTATAAATCGGCACCTTCTTGTAAAAATCAAATTAAATTGCATCAGTTTCATCATATTACAAACCCTTTTTGTTTTTATTCACAATTCAAGCTTCCAACAGACCAATTTCTGCCTTCAATGTATTAATTTTCTTTTTTCCAAATTTTGAATTTTTGCATGAATGTGGGTGAAATCAGAAATACCCAGATGAATATTCAGAGTTTAGATAAGGTGGGTGGGTTATTATTGTTATTATGGTGATGAAACAATGCAAATTAATAACAGAGGAAATGGAGTGAGAATGTGAGATGTTGTAAATGTGAAAGGACTTAAAAGAGCGTTAACGAGATTAAAATCCCGTACAAGATTTTAAAATATTTTTTACAATAATATTACAAAATATGAGATATATAAAAGATATACAGAAATATTTAATTTAGGTATATATGAAATATGATTTTCAACCTGACAAGAAGATATCATAAAGTATGGTTTACTTAAAGATTTTGCCAAAAAAAAAAAAAAAGGTAATGTGGACCCCATTACAAGTGAAAGCTTATAGAATACTAAGTTTTTATTCAAGTATTACTGAGAATGTATTTAGTATTACTGAATATACTCCGTACAATTTTATTGTTTGACCACTCAATGAGGAACACACTATAATACCACTAGAAGCTTATATAACACCAATGATAGTGTATTTAGTACCACTACAAGCATATATAATACCACTCGATATATACAATGGTATTATTTGATCACCCAATGATACTACATGAAATTTTGCTCAATTTAAAGCGAAATGACTGCAGTGTGCTCCTCATTATGTATTTGTAAATGCCTTCCTAACCTCCCTTTGGAATCCCTCAATGCAAATTAAGTGGTTATTTTCGTAGTGAAATTGCTCAATGTAGCACTATTTATAAGTTAAATCATTAATGATGCGTGGATGATCAATTATTTTAATTTGTTAAAGTTTTAAGGGAAGAAAGTGAATATCTGAAATTACTAGGGTGGCTAACGTGTGCGATGCGCGCACATAGTTAGCCATGTCCGAGAATTTCTTTCAGTTTGGTTTTATGTCACAATATTATTAGTTTGTAACATTAATGAGGGGAAATGGTAAACAAAAAAGTTTTGGGTATCAATTTCTACAAACTATTCTTAAGAGTTCAATTAAAAAAAAAAAAGGTCAAATAACATTAATGTGGGCAAATAAGTAGATATTGTTATGAAATGATTGAAACATTTGTGAATGCCAACTAGGTTTTATATAAACCGGGCATTGCACAGCATTGGGATCTCTCTCTCTCTCTCTCTTGGGATCTCTCTCTCTCTCTCTCTCTATATATATATATATATACACATACGATTACTATTATTCAGTTTGGTTTTATGTCACAATATTATTAGTTTGTAACATTAATGAGGGGAAATAGTAAACAAAAAAGTTTTGGGTATCAATTTCTACAAACTATTCTTAAGAGTTCAATTAAAAAAAAAAAAGGTCAAATAACATTAATGTGGGCAAATAAGTAGATATTGTTATGAAATGATTGAAACATTTGTGAATGCCAACTAGGTTTTATATGCACAGCATTGGGATATCTCTCTCTCTCTCTCTCTCTCTCTCTCTCTCTCTCTCTCTCTCTCTCTCTCTCTCTCTCTCTCTCTCTCTCTCTCTCTCTTCTCTCTCTCTCTCTCTCTCTCTCTCTCTCTCTCTCTCTCTATATATATATATATATATATATATATATATATATATATGATGAATTGTTAGCATTAACATTTGAACCCATGACCTCATGGATGAGGTTATTATGCTATAACTTCAACCACTACTCCAACGACACATATTGTGTCTACAATTATTTGTTAAAAAAAGTTAATCATATTAATAAACTTGAAGATAGCATTTAATTGAAGAACGAAGTAAACTAATAATTTAATTTTAAGATACTAGATATTGGATAATATATATTGATGTTTAATAATAATTGGAAAAAATATATTTTAAATAGTACGAGTACTAAAGTAAAATTTTAAATCTATATTTATATTTCATCACATAGTTTTTATTATCAAAGCTCATTTCAATATACATATTACGATTCGGGGCATTGTCCGAACCAAAAACTAGTTCTCTAATGATTTACTCGTACAAATATGACAATAAACTATTAAAACTGCTATTGAGAATTTACACTTTGAAATTTTAAAATAGTAGAATATTTTTATTAAAGTGAACTAACCATCGTGTGCTCATATACAATTAGTACATACGATCATCTTGCTCGAAATTACCATAGGAGCAAGGAAGTAAAGTAAGGTTATTTAATTTCATTAATTAATAAATTACATTAATTTATTGAGGGCCGTGCTCCGAATGGCCCCGTTGGAAGGTCTCGGCCCTTTCGATACGGAGTATATATTAGAAGGCATTGTGTTTCACTATCATCACATGGCCTCCTTTCCATATAGGTTAACGATACGCAACATTATGCAATCTTCAGAGTTCAGACTTTTCATTTGTTGATACAATCATCGTTCATCTCAACAAAGAAATAATAATAACAAGAACATATTATTGAACTTATATTATTATTGGCTTCACAAAACAAAGAAAACACCTTCAATTCTCTGTATAATAAATTACAAAGATGACAACAAACAGGTCTGAACTTGAGAACAATCAAAACATGGACTACAAAAACTTAATCCTTAATTATAGAACTTAGGTGATGAGACTGCAGCCATGAATTCGTCGTCTGTTTCGAGAGCTCTCATCGAATCAGGAGGCAAACATATCTCAAGATCCACACTTCCACCTCCTTCATATCCAGGGTAAGCAATCACAACCCCAACAGCTTTATTTGCTGGTCCATTTCGGACTGCAACCGGTTTCCCTAGTCCGAATTCATTGCCATACATGTCGAATCTTGGCGAATGTTCTATGGCTATAGTGTTATAGTCATGCAGGTCTTCAAGGTGGTAGCAATAAGGTGATTCTAACCATTCTTTGACAAAATCGCGTATAAATTTATCAGTCAGATTTACTACGGACTGGTGCAACAGAGATGCTGCCCATCCTAAGCTGTTTTCGAGTAATTCACCCGCTGTAGTTTTTGTAGTGATTCCTGTAATACAAGCACCGAAGTAATTCTGAGGTAAAGGCGGGTTTAACCTGTGCCTGTTACTCGCGTACATGTAGTTGTAGAGAATTTGATCACGCGGTAGAATGTTTGCTCGAACCATTGACCTCCAGACAAGAGCAGACAGGGCTTGGAAGGAAGAAATTGTATCAGTTTTACTTTCATCGTTTGCTTTGGCTCTTACATTGGCTATGGACTCAGACGAGAAATGGAAGACCTTTTCTCGGAGTTCAGGAGCTTCAAATCTTTTTATAAACTCGTCTTGGTGGGTAAATGGCAGGGGAATAGGCAGAGCACATCCATCAGGAAACCAACGGTTGTGCACTGGCAAACGCGACACAGAAATTTGCTGTCCTTTGGCTCTATGTATTTCAGACCATACATTCCAAAAGTGCCAGTATGAAGTTCCATCTGCAACAACATGGTTGATTGAACACGCGATAAAGACCCCATCTAGGAGCTCAGTAACCTGAACTGATAACAAAGGTTTTGTGTGACCGTCATAGTTTACAGTCGCCTCATTGTAGTAAAAAAATGACCTGACTACCAAGGGAACATCATTTGGTGACAAAATATCAGAAACAGTTATGTCCAAAGCCGAGGCATGGCTAAACCATGCCCCAGGGCCTTTGTTACAATCAACATAGATGCGACATTCATGTTGGTCATCATCGGTCTGTATGACAAGCTGACCGGCTAATGGATAGAAATGGACAAGGGTATGAGAAAGAGATTCTTTGAGACTTTCAAGGAACGAGTGGATCGAAAATACTTGGCCATTTACATGTGAAGGTTTGATGAAGAGAAGACCATTTTGGATATACTGAAAAGAAAGCATAATTAGGTCTAGTGGAGCTAAGTGATAAGGTTTTTTTGATTCTTTAACCTCATATTTTGGCTTGACATAGTTGTTAGAAATTTGCTTAACAATGGAAAAATCCATCTTAAGATTTTTTTTTTGTTTTTTCCTTTTGGTTTTTCTGTTCTAGGTTGATGAGAGGTGGATAATTTTGTACACAGGTTGAAGGGAGGCCATATCACCACCTTATATAGAGTGGCAGATTGTTTATTTTATAGAAAGAAAATATTAATTAAGCTTGATTAATCAAAGTTGCTTGAAGAGGAATTCAAAAGTATTTTGGTGAACAAAGCTATCATACTCCCTCCATCCCATTGGATATACTCCGATCCATGAAATTATTGTTAAATTTAAATTTTGATTAACTAAGTTGATGGGAGAGAAAATTGGTAGGACCAAGTTAGTAAGTAATTTGTATATGCTATGTAAGCAGAGGTGTCAATACAGATAAATGGATGGAGTTTGACTCGGGTCTATTCGGTTCGGGTCTGTTCGGGGCGGATATAATCGGTTTAAAATTACCCTTTTAACCAATTTCGGGTCGGATCGGGTCACTTTCAAGTTCGGTCAAATTTGGGTCAAGATCTATTGAGTCCAAATCGGGTTTGGGTCGGGTTAACTTCAGATCGATTCATAATCGGTTCGGATAAAATTGGATCGGGTTCAAAATGGGTTTGGCCGAGTTAATCTCGGGTCGGATGACTTTGGATCGGGATGGTTTCGATTCGATTGATTTCGGTTCTGTTAAGTTTGGTTTAATTACTAAAGTAGATTTAGTATTCGGTCAATTTTGATTCAGATACTTTTCGTGTTTGGCTGAGTTTTGGTTGGGTTGACCAAATTTAATATTCAAATGAGTACATTTTAAAAATTTGAGTAATTATTGAATTTTTTTTTTTATCTTGTTATTGGGTCGATATCATGTTATTCATGTGTTATTTTTCCATATCGTGTCATTAATATAGGTTTAACAAGTAAAAAAAAAATGTAAATAATGGGTTAGGTTTAAAATTATGGTTAGTTTGAAATCATGTCAAGTCAAAATCAGGTCGGATTTAAATCGGGTCAGGTTAATATCAGTTCGGATAAAAAACAGATCGGATTGAATCGGGTGCTTGTCAGGTCAATTTGGTTTGGATTAATTTCAGGCCGGGTCAAACCGGTTCGGTTTGAGTTTAATTCGGGTCAAATCGGTTTCGGGTCGAGTTCAAGTCGGGTTAAATCGGTGTCAGGTTAAGTTCAAATCGGATTAAATTCGGATCGGATTGAGCTCAGTTCGATTATAGATCAAATTTTAGTTGTTAGGTTTCTCGAATCAAATCGGATCAGTTACAATTCGAAACAGATAAATGATTTTGTTCGGTTGGTTTTGATTTTGACACCCTATATTTAAGTATAAAAGTAAAGGAAGACTATTTATATTATCAGTAGAAAACTTTATTTGTTAACATTTGAATAAGAAATGTGGAGTAATTCATGTGGGACATACTCCCGTCGTTCCATAGTACCTGATAAAGTTAGACTATTTGTTTTTACTGTTTACTTTGTTACTTCGTTTTTCACTTGACCTGTTTCATTTATTATGTTTGTTAATGTATAATTTTAATTAATCCCTTCGTGTTTTAATAAGTGTTACACTTTGACTGACACATAGTTTTAGGCAATTTAATTGACTTAAATAAAATAAAAGGTAAGTGGGGTTGTTGGAGTGTTAAAAAATTGTAAAAGAAAGATAGTGGGGTTAATAGTTTAATGAAAAGTAATGAATGTGATAAGAAGGAAATAATGAAAAAGTAGTAGTGAATTTCAGTGGGGGCCATGAGAGAAGAGATATATAATTTTAAATTGAAGATTTTTGCCAAAAAAGGAAATGTATCACTTATTAAAACACGGTCGGATTTGGTAAGTGTAACACTTATTAAAATACGGAGGGAGTATCAATAACATTAATTCTCAATAAGTAAAAATTAGAAATAATGATAATATTTATTTAGACGAATATAGTAAGATCCCCCGAAAATATGTTTTTCTTTACATATAACTCATTAAAAATGGTCAAAGAAGAGGATGTGAATAGTATAAAAGTCAATATAAGTCAAGTAATAAAAAAATGAAGATAGTACATATAATAACTTTGATCATATTTTTTATTTAATTTTATTGTACATATCAAGTTGTGTCTCCTCAATTAACACCCGATAATTAGAATATATACATTCACTAATTTGGTCCGACCTTGTGAAATGGGTTGACAAATTGCTTGAAATTTTCTTCATTAACGAAACCAAAAAACCAAGCCTTAGCTTAAGCTTTTGAGCATACTGTTCTTGTTCCTTAGCCCAAACCCGAATTCAATTGATTTGTTTTATACTTCCTCTATTCTTTTTTTTATTGCACCATAAGTGATTTTAGACTTGTTAATGCATTACTTTGCCTATTAATATTTTTAATTATCCTTTTACAAAAAATTAATATTTAAAATATAAATTTCAAGACGAATTCAACTTAAACTATCCCCCCTCAGTCTCATCCAAATTTTGTGTGTTATCAAATTCTTCGAAAACTTTTTTTGTAGGTTCCCTATAAATATTTCCTATTTCACCCGAATTTGACTCACAAACAATTCCCAAATAATTAGCCTTATATGTAGTACCCCGTATTTTAAACCATTTACTAATAATTAATTATGAATTTTTCCGAAATATTTTAAATATTATATTTTATTATTATATAAAAATATTTATTTAAGTCAATATATGATTTTATTAAGAAAATTTTATTATAATTACGCTTTATAAAGGATTTAATTATACGAGTCAACTCAAAATTGTCGGATTTTAAACCTTCAGTATTTTGCTTTCGAGTCAAACTACCGAGTACCAAATTATTTTCCTCCCGTAATCAAAGTCAACCCTTATTTAATCTTACTCCTATTCACTACATTTATTGGGCTAGCTGCATTTATTAGACCAACAATATTTATTAGGCTGGCTGCATTAATTGGGTTAGCAGCATTAATGAGTATGGTTGGAATAATGCCTGAGTTGGGGCTATATATAGCCATGGATGGAGTCCATCGTTGTCACCCCATCTTCTTCCTCCAAGCTCTCTTCTCCTCTCTTATCCTTCCTTCTCCATACTTACTTGCTTCTAGCTTTTGTTTTGTGGTCATGTGCTTCACCCCGAGCACCTGTCGCCAAGGTTGTTAGGATCGGGATCCTACCTTGAATCGATGAGGGGGGGGGGGGGTGGGATCGAATCGATAGAATTGGATCGTACGATCGTAAGATCCTACTTAATAACGAATAATATTATATATTATGCTATAAATTGACTTTAAAATATTTCTTCTAACGAGTTTCAATGCTAAAAGACATTGGTTTGCTTAAGAAAGGTCGATCTTCATTTAGTTTTGTCTGTATGGTAGTTAGAAGATTAATAACACAAGTTTAAATTAATTAATTATGTGCAAATTTGTCAAGAATGAGACCTTAACTATGACAATTGCAAGTTGTCAATTGATAAAATCATATTAATGTCTCGGATTCGCTAATTTATTAGCGATAATTATTGAATACATTAAATTTAGGTGCATATAACCTAATGAGTAATAAAAAATATGTCAAAATAAATCAAAGTCTCATATTTTAGTAAAATGTTGGATCGGATCGTAAGATCGTAATAAAATCGTAGGATCGTGTTGAGATCCTACCACTCATAATTAATATTGGAGTAGGATCGTAAGATCCTACAAATTTTAAGATCCTACCAAAGATCCGGATCGATCACACAATTTTGGATCGTAGAATCGTAAGATCGTAAGATCCAGATCGGGATTTTAACAACTATGCATGTCGCCATCCAGCCACTGCCCTACCGGCAGCCACCGAAGGTGACGGCATCTACCTTTATTCCTCCCTTAATCATTAATTTTGGTTTCCACTAATTTTAATACTAATTATTAGCTACTACTACTAATTTAAGTACTACACTACTACACATATACTACTACTAATCTACAATTGTCATGTTATTATTGTTATTATTATTATTACTGATATTTTGATACCCCTACACTATTACTCCACGTACTATTTCCTACTCCTAATGCTACTACTACATACTACCTCTTATTTTTATTATCATGATTATAATTATCCTTTTTATTACAGTTGTCTCTTTAAAAGTTACTACTACTACGTACCTTACTACTCATACTATGCTACTACTATTTGTTATGATATATTTATTACATTACCATTATTACTGCCATAATTACCAATGTTGTTATTATCACTTCATCAATATGCTACTGCTATCACTATATATATATATATATTACTACTACTAGACTTCTACTACTACCACTTATACGTACTACATTATCATTATTATTATTATTATTATTATTATTGATTAGGGGATTTTGCTCCCACCAATCGGAATGCGCCACGTGGATCAATCAGGTCCTGCCAAGTGTCCCCCAGTTGGAACAGCCAGGGCTTCCCACGTGGCACGCGCTTATTCGTCCACCTTGGACCTGTTATGTCAAGACATGTGGCATACTCCATGCCTAATGGAGAAACCGGCCACCCAGGCCCAACTTCCGAGGGAAGCCCAATCGGCCCTAGGTTTACCTAAACCTAGGATGGGCACGTTTCCCAAGGTTATAAATACCTCCCTTAATCCTCATTAAGGGGGATTACAAAAAAGAGAACGGAAACATTACGGAAAAAACACATTAATTACACACAGTAATAACCGGCTGATCTCGCTAACAAAGCAGATTACCTACATTAAACACTCTCCCCTAGAGAGACCAAATCACTTTAATTTCAGCATTAATTACTCCTTAATCAGGTACTAACTTGACCGTTGGAGGCGGAGCTCACAGGAGTCTCCGTTATTTTGCAGGTACAGGCGTCCGGTTCCAGTCTCGGAATTGTAACTCTCCCGCAGGACATCAGAAAACCCCGAAACATTTGGCGCCGTCTGTGGGGAGAGTACTTCTGAGATGGCATCCAAGTCTGTACCGACTCCTGAAGAGAGGCGTCCCCTAGACGACCCTCAAGTTCAGTCGGACCATGATACCGAAAGTGAATTCGAAGTTGAAGCTCATACAGCTTCAGACGGGACCCTAAGGGCCCGACGTACCCGTCATACCGAAAGGAGGGAACGGGAGCATCTTGAAACAGGAAGCGAGCCAGCAGGCGCACCGCCTGTTCGGCAACAGCCGACTGATGGGTCTGCTCCCATCACAAGGAACGAACTCATGACCTTCATGAGGGAC